AGAGGGCAGCCGAGGCCCCTGCTGCTCCTGTGTACTGTGTACTTTTCCACAGCTGAGGAGAATGGTCAGGAAGAGAGGGGCAAAGAGGAAGGCTAAACTAGGTCACTGTATTTCTGCTTGTTCCCCAGAGCACAAGTCTCTCAGAAAAGAAATAAGGCAGCAGAAAGAGAACATTAGCCAGCCTTGTAGGGGTAGAACTGTCTCTTTAAATGTCTGCCAACTTCCTTCCCTAGGAAGATAAATGCCTAAGATAGTGAGGCAGAAACTGGGTGTTGATAAGGTCACTAAATTGGAGGCTATCCACTGACCTTAATTGGCAGTATGATGCTAGCAAGTTAATTTATTTGGGTCCCTTAATTATAAAATGAACTCATCAGGTTCCTCAGGCTAACCAGAGTGTTGTAAAAGAAAGCTCAGCCTGCATAGTGATGCACACCTTTAATCCTAGCACTTGGGAGGCAGAGGCAGGTAGATCTCTGTGAGCTTGAAGCCAACCTGGTCTACATAGTGAGTGGAGACCCTATCTCAAACAAACAAACAAACAAAAACAACAGAAATAAATAATAAAAAAGAAAGCTCACTCTTCAAATAAACTCACCTTCCATGAAGGCTAAAAGCAGTTTCTCAATGGAAGAGCCAACAACCATCCCATCCCTCCATGGGCAGAGAGGGGAAAAAATACACAAAACCTTTCCTTCAATAACCACAAAACTCTCCTTACACCAAGAGAAGTCAAGATGTCCCAGCAAGTGTGTTTTTAACCCACTCTCATGTCCCAAACCACGAAAGGCAATTTGGAAAACCTCTAGGGTGGGCTTATTCTGGATTTTCAAAGACTAAAGGACTCTGGCCCCAACAGGCCTGATCATTCAGCAAATCAAGCACTATTCTGGAATCGTCCTGAGGGGACATCCCAGGTTTTCAGAAGCTTGAGGCAAGAAATGTGCTCCCTTCCCTTTTACTAAACAGAAATTTTCGTCTAAGCCTTCTGCTAAATGTTTTGAGGTCTGAAATATGTAAGTCAGTCACTTGACCATGTGATTCCAGATTCCAGACTCCAAACCCTATCAGCAGTCTCAGTCTCTTCCAAAGCAAGAGTTTAAGCCCAATCAGCAGGGACTATACTTCTTACCTGCCTTGTTTTGTTCTGCTTTGATTTTTTTTTTTTTTTTTTTGGATTTTTTTTCCCACCTAGAAACGATTTTTTTAAATTGATTTAACTAACGAATTGGTAGAAATACTGAGTTGTGGCCAAGGCACAGGGAGTGCCTCTCCTGGATGCCTGGAGCAAAGTGTATGAGGAAGATGCAGGGGACTAAGATGTGGATGAGGCATCTGATTAGCAGCTAAACTGGAGTTTATTTTCCATCGTTTTTTCTCTTCTGCTTCGAGTTTCCAATGTGCATCATTACCTCACTGCAGTCTTCCTTTCACTGTCTGTAGATTTAAAGCTCCACAGTGCACTCCCCAACCTGTCTTCCTCCCCATGGAGCTGTTACAATCACATGCTTTCCTTCCATGTGTCTTACAAAGCCAGCATTTTTATTTTTATTTTGTGTCTGAGTGTTTTCCCTGCATGAATGTAAGTGCACCATGTGTGTGCCATGCCTGCAGAGGCCAGAAGAGGGTGTTGTGAGAAGAGGGATCATGTACCCTGGGGTGGCCCCTCTAACTCTCTATGTAGTTGAACCTGGCTTTGAACTCTAGATCCACTGTCTCTGCCGCCAGAGTTCTGGGATTATAGGCATGTGCACGCTAGGCTTTCCACTTCTTTGGTCCAGTCTTATTTTGCGCAAATGCTGCTCACAAAGTTTACTGAAGACATATAACCACATCCACATGTAGAGAGATGACCAAATGACAAATACCTTTACCCTGCTACAGAGAAATAAAATGACATAGGCCAGCTGTGGGGGGTGCGCCCGCTCTGGGCAGGTATCTGTGAGACTGAAGCCAGCCTGGTGCATGGTGAGTTCCAGGTCACCTGGGGCCACAAAACCAAAAATAGACATAGGAAGAAAGAGGGATGTAGCAAGAACAAGCACAAGTTTGATGACCTGAGTTTGATCTCTGAAACCTGAAGTGGAAGGGGAGAACTGAAAGTTGTCCTCTGATCTCCACAGGCACACCAGCACACACACATTAATTGTAAAGGCCATCTTAAAAAAAAAAAAATTCTAGACTGGTGTGGTGGCACTTGTTAATCCCAGCACTTGGGAGGCAGAGGCAGAGGAAGGCAGATCTCTCAGAGTTCAAGGTCAGCCTGGCCTACAAATTGAATTCCAGGCCAGCTGGGCCTACAGGGAGACCCTGTCTCAAAAAGGCCAAAACAAACAAACAAATAAACAAAAAATCCAAAGTGGAAAAGAATTCAGGGTATGTTTACAAACACCATTAAGTTAACCACTATAAAGAAGTACTCAAATCCAACCACAAAATCTCTCCTGTGTAAAAATCCAAAGACCTCCAGACAAAGGCAGGGGGAATCTCTGAGTTTGAGGTCAGTCTGGTCTATATAACAAGTTCCAGGTCAGCCAAAAATATTTTTTTTTAATTAAATAAATAAAATCCAAGACTACTGTGATAGATTCTGGCAACAAATTCTAAATGAACCAAGTATTTAAATCTAAAACAAAAACCCTGTGCATAGAAGCTGTGTGGAGTAAGGTTGAGGGATAGTTGATCAAGCAGCAGTTGCAGCTAGGAGAACCTTCCCAGGCATCTTAGAAGCTAACCCAAACTGCAAGACAGCTTCTCTTTATTTTTTAAAAATATTTTATTTATTATTTTTATTTTATGTGTATGAGTGTTATGCCTACATGTAAGTAAGTGCACCCGTGTTGTGCAATGCCCACGGAGGACAGAAGAGGCTGTCAGATCCCCTGGAACCAGAGTTATGGACAGTTGCCACATGGGCGCTTGGGATTCAAACCTGGGTCTTCTGCAAGAACAGTCAGTGTTCTTAACCCCTGAGCCATCTCTCCAGACCCAGCTTCTCTCTTTAAAGCAACGCTTAAACTGAGCTGGGCATGGTGGTGCACTCCTGTAATCCCAGCACTTGAGAGGCAAAGGCAGGCAGATCTCTGTGAGTTTGAGGCCAGCCTGGTCTACAAAGTGAGTTCCAGGCCAGCTGGGGCTACAGGGAGAACCTGTCTCAAACACGCACACAACGCTTAAGCACCAGTGCTTTTTCTTTGTGAAAGCACAGCAGCTCAGTGTTTGGAATATGACTTCAGGTTTCCCCCTGTGGCTCTTCCCTTGGGAGAGTCAGATTAGTTAAGACTGAAAAATTTGGTTCCTTTCCCAAATGTGCTGTGAACTGCTGGAAGCAGAGGCATTTTACTGACTGATACCACAGTGAAGTCTGGAATAAGTTACAGAGCCCTCTCCAATACCTTGGAAATAATCAGTTTCTTAAAAGCTATCAGCTCAACTTCAAGTCAACTCCATCTGGGATGGACAGATTTGGGTCTGCTAAAATCGTCCATGATTAGAAAGCATGCTCCAGCAGGCATGGAGGTCCAGGTTAGATAAGCTACATGGGGCACTGTCTCAAAAAAAAAAAAAAAAAAAAAGAAAGAAGGAAAGAAGGGAAGGGAGGGAGGGAAGGAGAAGTATAACCTGCTGGTTTTAAATAGACCAAATCAGGAAAGTTTCTTCAGCTGGTCAAGCCCCTCACCAGATTCACACTATCTACAGTAGGCCTGTTTTACCCATTCTTAAACCTGGCTCTCTATAGGTACTGATGATGATGAGCTTCCCCTTCCTGGGTCATTTTTAAAGTGTTTCAGGGCAGTCCAAAGCAGACTGGCCTGGCTGGATCCCCTGCCAAGTTCTCTCCTAGATTTGTTTTGCTCTATCTCTCCCTTTTTTTTTTTTTTTTTTTTTTTTTTTTTTTTTTTTGCTTGTTTGGAATTCATTATGTAGCTCAGGCTGCTCTTAAACCCACGGGCATCCTCCTACCTCAGTCTCCCCCAGAGCTGTGATTACAGCCCTAAACGACTACACTCAGCCTTTAAGATTTCTCTCTTGGTGTTGGCAAAAAGGTCCCCTTACTCTGTGCCTTCTCTTGTGCCCAGACCTACGTGCAAGAGATAGGTTAAGGTCCTGGACTCAAGGGGAGGGTGAGCAAGCCAACCAAGTCCACGCTTTAGCCAAAGGCCAGCTATTGGGTCAACAAAAGAGTAAGTTCTCAGATTAAAAAGGACGCCGGGTTCCTTTCTATAGAGCCCGGAGGATCCCCTCCCAGGCTCCTCCCAGGAGAAGAGTTTAGGCAGGACACCGACAACCTTTGCCCTTCCTTCTCCCGTGACCGATTCAACACGCTTCACCTTTCCCCCAAAGCTGCTTGTAAACAGTTCCGGGCCATCCTTGGAAACACAATGCCAGGAACCTCCTCCGCTCCACTCCACTCTTCAAGCCCCTTCCCCAGGCTCAAACCCCACCCGACTTGGGTGTGCTGCTTGACAAAGCCCCGTTTCACCATGTCAAAAAGGAGCCCCCCAAGGTCCTGGCCAAAAAGCTGACAGTGCTCCACCCTCACCTCCTCCCTCTAGGTCACCACCAGATCGTTATTTTATCACCCAGTCCTCCAGACCTGGGGCTCCCCCAACCCTGAGGACTCTTCCAACAAAGTAAACAATACTGTCAAAGGAGGATAATTCTGGGCGAGGCTTGCAGAATGCGCTCCAGCCTCCCGTGGTTCTAAATGCAGCTAGTCACCCAGGGTCCCACAATGGACCCTCGTCCCCAACTCCCCTTCCCCAAAGGGTCATGGGACAGCTCCGAAGGCAAGCACCAACGTGCACGGTCTGCAGCGCAGAGGGCAGTGCAAGACCCAGTGTAGCGGATGTGCCGGGCAGGGGCGGAGAGGAAGCGACAGGGTGAGTGTGCATAAGTGCCACGAAGTGGGAACCAGGGCTCAGCGCGCAACGCCAGTGCCGCGATCCCGGGCAGGCGCGCGGGACCCTGGGTGCGCGGGGCCCGGCCGCGGCGCTCACCTCCCGGCGTGGTGGAGAACAGCGTCCCCCCGGGCGTGGTGCAATAGTCCTGAGGTAGCTGCGCGGCGTCGCTGATGGCCACAGTGCGCGTGGGGATGGCGCGGCTCTGGCTGGGCTGGTGGCCGCCGCCAGCCGATGCTGACATGGCTCGGGCGCGGGCTCGCGGCTTTGTCCGGAGGGCGGGCGGCGGCGGGGCCCGAGCGGCTCCGGCTTCTCGGACGGGCGGAAGGGCGCACTCGGCTCCGCGCTTGCCTGCTCGCGCTCCGTCGTCCGGCTCCGCTCCCGCCGCCGCTGCCGCCGCCGCCCGGTCCTTCGGCCTCCGCCCGCAGCCTCAGCAACAGCAGTAGCTGCAGCAGCGGCAGCAGCGGCGACGACGACCGGAAGCAGGCGAAGGCGGGAGCCAGAAGGAGTTCGGATGGGGAGGGGCAGTAGAGCCGGAGGTGACGTAATGGTGAGTGGGCGGGGCACAGGGCGGGGCTGAGAGCTCTGGGTGGGCGGGGTGCGGAGGGGCAAGGCTGGGCTGACCAGGCCCGAGCTCCGAGAGCTCCTGTAAGCGCTGAAGATGGAAGTGACGAGCGCGTGGCCGGGCGCAGGGGGGCGTGGTCCTTGGAGGGGGAGGGGCATAATGGAGGACCGGGCTGGCGAGGCGCGCAGAGGGCTAAGCTGAGCTCCGAGGGGCCGGAATCTGGATTGAACGTGTCTGCGCTGTCCCAGCAGACCAGGAAAACTTTTGTCTTGTGTGTGGTATGTGTATGTTTAGTTGCCAATCAACACTACTTTCCTGGAGCCGACTTCAGTTTACTATTTGTAACCAAAAGTATCATTTTGGGGGGTTGGAAAGATGGCTCAGCTGGTAAAAGCGCTGCAAGCCTGACAACTTGAGGTACCGGGACCTAGCTTTTTCCATGAATATTGGGAATCAGAACTCAGGTTGTTGCACAATAAGCACTTTACCAACTGAATCATCTCCTCAGCCCAAGGCATTTTATCTTTTGCCTGTCATTCTCGCAGCCCCCCCCCCCGCCCCCAGCATCTCCTGTTTCCCACCTGGGTATGTAAACCTGAGTGCCAGGGCTCGGAAAAACACATTGGAGCCGGGCCTGGAAGGAGGACCCTCTCCATTCAGAACGGAGACTTTTCCAACCTTTAGTTTACCACGCACCGTCCCCACACTGCTCCTGTGTCTCCCAGGACTTAGATGGCCATGAGACCTGCTCTATCTGGTATTCAGCTCCTGGCAAGGGAAATCTCTCATCCCTTGTGGCTCTGGGGATGGGGAGGACCTCTGTGAGAGAGGACAAGGAGATTCCACTCCTAAAATCCTGTCCTCTGGGGTCCAGGACCTGAAGAGGCTTTTGGCTCTGAGTCCCTTCCTTGCTTTTCTGCAGTCGGCTAACTTGCTGACCACTTGTTTTTCTGCTCTCCAGCTTCCAAAATTGTGTTGCCTTTTCTAGCTGCTTGTTTTGTTTATTTGTTTGTGGTGGTGATAGGGATCAAATTCCGGGCCTTAGGTGAGGACTCTAATTCTGAGCTACACCCAGTCCTGCTATTTAATCCCTGAAAGTTTGTCTTTTACTTCTCCTCCTCCTCTTCCTTCTACTCTTCTTCCTTCTCCTCATCCTCCTCTTTCCTCCTCTTCCTCCTCCTCCTTTTCTTTCTCCTCCTCCCCACCCCCTTTTCCTGGACCTCAGCCTCCTCCTCCTCTTCTTCCTCCTCTTCCTCCTCCTCTCCCTTTCCTCATTCTCCTCTTTCTCCTTTTTTTTCTTATTTTTTTGTAGTTTCGAGACAGGGTCTTGCTATGTAACTCAGGCTGGCTTTGAATTTGCTATTCTTCTGCTTCAAACGAAGTGCTAGGATCACAGAAAATACCCCCACAGAAACACCCAAAGGTCAGTCTCTTAAGATTCAAGATCCAGTCAAGTTGACAACCAAGATTAACCATCACAACAATCTTGCAGAATCCATCATTTTGAAGAGCTACTTTCCTGAACCAGACATGGTCAAGAGACAGGAATACGCAAACTACTGTCACAACAGCCAGCACCTTCTAAGGCACAACTCAGAGGTCAGGGTCAAAGCCCCACGGAGCCTGCTAAATCCCTATCAGCAAGTGAAGGTTTGGAGGGGAACTACTTCCCTTCCACTTAGCTCTGAATTCAGGACTTGTGTGAGGGCGTCTGATGGGGTAACTCAAAAGCTAGTGTCTCTCGGGGAATGGTGGCACACAATCTTTAATGCCAACACCTGGAAGGCAGAGGCAGGTAGATCTCTGTGAGTTTGAGACCAGCCTGGTCTATATAGTGAGACTTGGTCTCAAAAATCAAAAACAAAAACAGAGAAAAAAGAAAAAGAAAGAAAAGATACTGCCATACTGCCTGAAGAAATTGTGAGAAATGTGGATGTTTCTTAGCTTTCCCCCTGCACCTTTTTTTGTTTTTGTTTTCTTTTGCTTATTTTTTGAGATAGGGTCTTCCTGTAGCCCCTACTTGCCTGGAACTCTTTATGTAAACCAGGTTGACCTCAATCTTACAGAGATTCTCCTGCCTCTGCCTCTAGAGGACTGGGATTAAAGGTATGCACTACCATGCCCAGCTAACTGCACTTTTCTTTTTAATTAAAAAAAACTATTGGGGCTGTAGAGATGGCTCAGAGGTTAAGAGCATTGACTGCTCTTGCAGAGGACCCAGGTTCGATTCCCAGCACCCACATGGTGGCTATGAACCATCCTAACTCCAGTTCCAGGGGAATCCAAAGCCCTCATCTGACTTCTGCAGCATTGCACCACATGGGTGCACTCACATACATGCAGGGAATACACTCATACACATAAAATAATAAATAAAATATTTTTAAAAAATTATTATTGGAACTGGACATGGTGGCACACGCCTTTAATCCCCCAGCACTCAGGAGGCAGAGGCAGGTGGATCTCTGTGAGTTCAAGGCCAGCCTGGTCTACATAGTGAGTTCCAGGACAGCTGGGGCTACAGGGAGACCCTGTCTCAAAAAGACCAAAAAAAAAATTATTATTGGGACTAGAGAGCTGTCCCAGCAGTTAAGAGCACAGTCTGCTCTTATAGAGGACCCGGATTCAATTCTCAGCACCAACATAGTGGCTAACAACTGTCTGTAACTCCAGTTCTAGGGGATCCGACACCCTCTTCTGACCTCTGTGGGCATTGCACAATACGGGTGCACCTACGCGCATGCAGGCAATACACTCATACACATAAAATAATAAAATAATAAAACACAATTTTTAAAAAATCATTATTCATTTTTATTTTTTTATTTTTTGCCACCAGTGCCATCATGGTGTGTGAAGTCACCACCTTGGCTCATGAATCCTGGAATAATATTTGAAAGCAGGAGCCCTTAGAACAAAATCCTTTCTCTCTAGTGTTTAGGGCATGAAAGTTTTCTGCTGTCTTTGGAACTCTGTCTGCAAACAGTTTGAGGATATAGCCCATGGGTTCACCATCGATTGTGTTGTGGAAGAACATGGTGGGTTTGACCATGGCTGACAGCAAGGGACTACAGGGGGCAGCAGTGTCTGTAAAGCCACGTTTATTCTATTTTTAAGTGTGTGTGTGTGCATGTGTGTGTGTGTACATGCACATGAGTGGGGGATGCTCCTTGAGACCAGAAGAGGGCATCAGATTCCTTAGAGTTGAAATTACAGTTGATTGTGAGCTGCCATCTCTCCAGTACCACCTCTGACTTTATATACAAAAAAATTTGCTGACCCCAAAGCCAAAGCAAGGGACAGGTGCTTTTAGAGTTTAGTCCCACAGGCTAGGAGGAAGAATATGAGATAAGGTGAGAAAAATGATGGAGTTAATCCTATTTCCAGGTAGAAAATATGGTCTCTCTGTAGCCCCAGCTGACCTGGAACTCACTATGTACACCAAGCTGGTCTTAAACTCACAGAGATCCACCTGCCTCTGCTGCCCAAGTGCTGGAATTAAAGGTGTGCACCACCATGCCTGGCTGCCTGGCTTGTATTTTAATATTTTTTATTTATTTTTATTTTATGTGTATGAGTGCTTTGCCTGCATGTATGGAAGTGCATTCGTGTGTGAAATACCCATAGAGTCCAAAAGAGGATGTTGGATCCCCCGGAGCTAGAGTTATGGATAGTTGTTAGTTGCCATGTGTGTGCTGGGAGCTGAACCTGGATCCTCTGTAAGAGCAGCCAATGCTCTTAATTGCTGAACCATCTCAGCAGCCCCATCTCAGTTTTTTATTTTATTATTTTTTAATATTTTTATTTATTATAATTATTTTATGTGTATGTGTGTATTGCCTGCATGTAGGTAAGTGCACCTGTGTCATGCAATGCCTGCAAAGGACAGAAGAGACTGTCGGATCCCCTGAAACTGGAGTTATTGACAGTTGTTAACTGCCATGTGGGTGCTGGGATTCGAACCTGGGTCTTCTGCAAGAACAGTCAGTATTCTTATCTGCTGAGCCATCTCTCCAGCCCCCATCTTAGTTTTTTAAAGTCCTTTAATATAACTAGAGTTTTATTAAATTGAAGTGTCCTGGGTGTCTCCTGTAGAGATCTAGTCCGGTGTCTTGGACTTTGACTTCCCCAAACTCATCCCTCCTAACTTACTTCTGTCCCATTCCCTCCTCTTCTGCCTTGCCCAGGGTGGAGGCTGGTCCCAACCTTCTGCAATTCAGCTTCCTACTTCAGATCTGTATCACTAAGGATAATGGTCCCTCACATCTGGATAACACTTTTTGGTTCACAAAGCACTTTTGCAACCATAATCTCAACTGGCCACAGCCCTGTGATACAGACAGGTTGTTGTTTATTATTCTTTTAAAAATTTTTATTTATTATTTTAAAAATTTATGTGTATGACTGTTTTGCCTACATGTATGTAAATGTACCATGTGCATGCAGTGCCTGTGGAAACCAGAAGAGGACCTGGGATCTCCTGGAACTGGAGTTATAGACAGTTGCGAGCTACCATGTGGGTACTGGGAAGCAAGCCTGGGTCCTTGCAAGAGCAGCACGTGCTCTTAACTGCTGAACCATCTCTCCAGTCCTGTTTATTAGTCTTAGCTATGGTTTACAGATAAAGAAACTGCTGCTCAAGAAGATAGCTGACTTCTCTGAGGTGGCACAGCCAGAAGTGGGTGGAGCTTAACTAAGAGCTCAGGCTTCCAGCAGGTGGTCCTCTGCACACTCTCCTACCCGTGCTGACTTCCTGCATCCTTACAGTGTGCAAGGAATCCCTTGATCACCCACTGTCTTAGTTTGTTCTTCATTGCTGTGACAAAACACTCTGACCAGTACCAACTTGGGGAGGAAAGGGTTTATTTGTCTTACACCTCCCAGGTCACATGCAGTTCATCAGGGAGCCCAAGATAGGAAC